TTCAAATCTAATTTTCGAAGTGAATACAAATTTTTATAATTATCATAAATTGTTAATGTTTTTCTGAGGTCATACCATTTGACATACCTGACCACGCCCTTAAAATGTCAAATTATCTCATGTTTTAAAGAGAGTTGCTAAACTTGGCCTGCAGCCGTTAGGACCATCAGGGATTCTTCTTTGTGATATCATTTCTTGTCACATGATATGATGAATATATTAACAAAATGGCTCCTTCAATGGTGGTTACACCATGTTGACAATTTGGTACTTGACTGGGTGACATGATTTCCCTAAAATAATTATAATAATAAGAACAATGATGTTCCATTACTTTTATTTACTATTGAACAGTTCTATCGTAAGATTATGCCAGGCTAGTTCATAGGGTGTTATATGAAAATTTTACCTTTTTAAAGCAAGTTTAATTCTTTGGTACAAAGTTTCAACGGTTACACCACTTAGACATTTTTGCCTAAATACCCCAGTTATTCTCTAAAAATGTATAATAAATATAATTTTTTTTTGGTCTTTAAAACAAAGGATGAAAGCATGTCATCTGTGCATTTATTATAAAATTTTAAGCCTTTAAAAGTTAACTAAACCTTATGGACACAAACAAATGAGCATCACGTCATTGACCCAACTACTAATTTAGATTTAATAATGCCACTACAATTACAGATATTTAAGATACATGATATCATGGTTTATTGACATTGATTCAACGGTTGAGGCACATCAGCTCTCTCCTTGGAGAATGAATAACGTACGCAGTAAACAAGTAAATATGATTATTCAGGCATGAGCTTTCGGTCTTGGTAATACTGTACTGTGCATCTTTGTAGCCATTTTACATGATTTCGGCAGTTTTGCGCCTCTTTATGCTAACATTGTAAATCTTTGAGGTCATCGAAGGATCTATTGAAGGTAAGGGAATAAAGGCAGTAATATTTTGATTGACTACAATAACTTTTATAATAGCTCCATTTAAGCTGCTGATAAAAGCTTGGCGGGCTGCATGAGGACTGCAAAATGAAGAATGAATATCTATGACCTTTATGACTTGAGACAACAAGGAGTGAAGAGCAATACAAGACGAGCGCTGCTCAACGGTTCTTTTGTTATTTTATAGCAATGACAATAAAGATCTGTTCTATCTATTCAATACACTTGGCCTGTTATTCATTCAGGACTTTGATCCGTGTGCAACTGTCCTGTTTGTTTGAGGGGTGCGTGTAGGTGAGTCACCACTAAAGTCCTCATATGTGCCGCGACCAGCTCACTCGGACAGCCCGATCCACGAAGTCACTTGGGTATGATCTCCTCCGCCAGCCCTCTCTTCATATCAGTTTAGTTAATGTGAGGTAAAATTAAGAGTTAGTGGCTAAATGATGATTTTGTGATCAAGAGGACAAACCTTCATAGTAACGGTTTATTAAGTAACATGTAGCTGTAACTCCACAACAAGTAGCGTATCTGGGTCAGTGACAAATAAGGGTTGTTCAGATGACCAATTCAAAAATCTTTTAAAAACACAATTTGAAAGCATGCATCAGGTTCATTAAAATGTGAGATTTGTATTCATGTTGGGTTTGTTTTTTTTAAAATGACATTAAACCTTTTTTTTTCAAAAGGTAAGACTAAATGGACCTAAAAATGTCAAGTGGTGTAACCACTGAAAAATTAAGAATATTGAATATTTTATACATCTAGAGTATATGTAAGTGTACTCATAATTGTAATTACTTCATTTTAAAATAGCACAAGAAATACATTTTATTAGGATTATCCCTAAATGTATAAGTTATGCCCTTTTTCAATACTGAGCGGGGCACAAAGCTGAAACACCTCTGTTTTCTAATTCATTTTTGGCAAATTCTGTAAAAATTGTTTAAAAAAACCCATGTTATTTCACTGCAATAGATGACTACTTTTATTCCACTTTAATTGTCCTGTATTTTATTATATTTTTTGCAAGAAATACTGGTTACGCCAATTGACGCAAACCAGTTACACCAACTGACCATGCTGCTTCTACCGTCAAAGGCCATTGTTTCTTGAAGAAATTGTTGTTAACTTCCTCCATTTTATGTTTGCTCCACCTAACAAAGTGCACAGAATACAGTACGCTGATGACAGTAATGTAGCACATTTGTCTTAAACACAGAATAGCATAAAACTGAAGTCAATAGATCAGCCTTTTGGATGGGTCTCATAGATCGGCAAATTCTTACTGATACCTGATCTAGCTGTCTTAGTCAGGATCGGTGCATTCTTAATTAATTCATATCTTAAGTAAATTACAACATCTGAGCAAAATCTTCAGGGGGGATTAATTTCTTAAGTATTTGGAATAAACTCAAGGTACTTGTGCCCTAATCAAAGGATAACATACCCACAGGCAACACTTTACATCTCTCCTTTTTTACATCATGGCCATCACAGCCCAAACAGCATTGCCACCTTCTATAGTACCAGACTTTGGCAAGCAGCTCCAGGTAGTGACATGCTGATACTACCTACCACATGGCCCCTGATAGCAGACACATCTAAAATGCAACTACTGTGCCAATATTATAGCAATGATCCATATATTAGATCATACATGTTTACAGGTGCACTGTGTAGATTTGGTTGTGAAATTTGAAAGTTGGAGAAGTGAACCAACCACACCTACCACTAAAGACACTGATGTGAATCCTCCGCATTATCATAACATCCCTCCCCCATAAAAAAATAAATAAAAAAAACACTACTAAATTGTGAAACCAACCATCTTTTCTTCACATTTTCTCCCATGTTTTTTTTTTTTTTACAGGTGGTGCTGTGACTTATCCAAAAAATTTGAATATGGATGTGTTCAGGGCGGGCCCCGTATCATGTATAAAAAATGTGGATATGATTGAACACTGCATGTGCAGAGATATAAGCATTTACTTTTTTGGCAAGTTGCCAAAATGCACATCAAAATTTGCATGAACACCACGGCCACGCCTTTTGACGAAATAACGTGCAGAGCACAACGGGATATGTTGAACATGTCAAGAACACACTGAGTTTGCGTCGAACGGAAGAACGCTTTCGGACTAGCTTTATTTTTCGCATCTGCCAGTCTTTAATTTTATACATATGTTTATGTATTTCAGTTTTACTTAAACTGTATTTCCGTTTTCTTTTCTTTCTTCAAAAGCAACATTTTATCCATATTTCAACACAATATGCACAGAAAAATACATGTACTTATACTTGTCTTATATTACATGCAAAAGTTCTCAAAACTACAAAATAAAAGTTTCTGTGTTATTATTCTTTTCACAAATATAAAATAATTCGGTTCTGCTACTTAAGAGCTTCGTATCAATGCAATAGCCTACAGTTACAAACAGGTTTCCAGTTGATCCTCGCTTAGCATTATGCTAACAAATAACATGGGAAATCCCATAGAGAAACAGCGAAGCTAGCGGTTAGTGCTACACTTTTTACATGAATATAAGTCCAAAATATGAAAACGAACAGTCTTCATGAACCCACGGTTACTTTAAGAGATATGCAGGAGCTTTACAAAACTAGCAAAAGAGCATGGGAGCTAGGGACAAGCCATGACAGACATATATGAACGTGGCGATGAGCTAAGCTAGAGCTCATGAGCATCATAGCTAAAGTACCTTAAAACCTTCAAAACAAATTTAAAACACATCCTGACACACACTAAAGGATTGCGTTACCTTCCGCATCCTATAGAAGATGTAACTAATGTAACATAAGGGTTTTATAAGTTTAGCTAGTTAGCTGTTAGCTAGCAAGAGTTACAGCCACTTCCTGTTTATGGTGATGTGATTTGTGGACTTCCTGTTGGATATTGATCATGGCTGCAAGAGGGTTTATTGTAGGTGTTGTCAAGGTGGATACGCACAGTAAAATTCAGAATTGTAGGTTCAATGTGCTGCGGGGGCTGAATGTTAAAAGTATGCTGCTGTCTTAGTCCTCCAGGAGTCCTCACACACTGAGCCTCCTTCTTTATTTCTGTAAGCATTCAAATCCCTTCAATTCTTGTTGCAAACCTTGTTTTTTTTGCTCTCTCAGACTCCTGTAGATTGTTGTAAACGCTTGCTGCATGCAGAGAATAAATTGTTGCAGTGCTAGCTCATTTGTGGTTTTATGTTAAAGGTCACATATTGTGGAAAATACACTTTACAATGGTTTTCAAACACTAATATGTGTCCCTAGTTCATCCTCTCCGTCTTTTGCCTGCTCCACTTTTCAGAGAATGTGTGCTCAAACAGGCTGTTTGGAGACATCACAAAGGGCAGTAACCCCTCCCCCAGGTGGGTGACACTCCCACAGTTAGGTGTTTGTTCTGCCCTCTGAGTCTGCCTTCTCACCATAAACAATTGGGAATGTTTATGGTGAGAGTCCAAGCCCTTCCAGAGGGGCGTGGTCAGACACAGCTCATTTACATTTAAAGCTACAGACACAGAAACAGCCTGTTCTGAGCAGGGCTGAAATAGAGGGGTTTATAGACATGATCAAATACAGGGTCAGAGTGGAGTTATAACAAGAAACTTCAGACATTTTTTGGGGATATCTGAGACTTATTCAAAGTAGTTGAAAAGGAGGATATCATGTGATCTTCAAATATAACAAAGAACAGTCTAGCTCTTCATGTGAAGTGTTGTGAAAAATGTAAATTGATCAATTTTTGATCTTGGATTAAACAACTCAGAAGTCAGATATAATAAAAAAAGGTTAACTATTTATTAAAGTTTTGTGCAAGAGACAATAACAGGTTGATAAAAAACAATGCAGAGATACATTTAAAAAACATACAAATGCTTTGTGGCATATATATATATATATATATATTGACCTGATCCAAGGAAAACGTACACATGATAAAAACCAGCATGGTGGCCAAGACTGCAGGCAAACATTCAAATGCCTTTGGATCCTTTGGGTCAGAGTAACAATATCCACAGCACAACCCTGCTGCACTGACATTTTTTTTTTTCTATGTATAAATGATCAGCTTTGATGACAAAATGTGTTGGCAATAAGGCAGTAATTGTGCCAGAGGTAAAGATGTTCTGCAAGACTGAATGCAAAAAGAGCGCAGAATACCCCCATTATCATTTCATCCATCAAGTAAAAAACAAACGGGTACAGATCAATCCATAGTCTAACAGGCTAAATACAATACTGGTCATGACACTTTGTCTGACAATGTTCATTTGTTATACTCTGTTGGCTGCTCTCCCTCTTCTTTGAGTATACATGTGCGCACCATAGCCTCTGTGACGATGTACGGGTTGCAGTTTGCAGATGGCCGGCGGTCCTCGAAGTAGCCCTTCTTGTCCTTCCATACAGCGCGAGGGATGCGGATGCTGGCGCCACGGTTTGCCACACCATTAGAGAATTCGCCAATGTTTGAGGTTTCGTGATGACCAGTGAGGCGTCTGGCGTTGTCGAGCCCTCCTTTGGGATCGTAGGCTCGGATGTGATACTGGTGCCTCTTCGATAGCCTCTCGATGGCATCCTCAATGACTCTGTGAAGCAAAGAGGGAATTAGAAACTCACTCAACCCAGATGAAAAATGTATTAAATATTGAATACACTCAGTCTTACTTGAGTCCGCCGTCCTCTCTCATCTCCTTTGTGCTGAAGTTGGTATGGCAGCCAGCACCGTTCCAGTCCCCAGAGACTGGTTTGGGGTCAAAAGACACAATCACACCAAAATCTTCACACACTCTGTGGAGGATAAAGCGAGCCACCCACAGGTGGTCCCCCATGTTGATACCTTCACAAGGTCCGATCTGAAACTCCCACTGAAACACAGAGACAGAATCATTTATTAAATGTACAAGATTTAATATCCAAGATGTTTAAAACACATTAAAAGTGAGCCATTCTGAAAATATAAAACAGACAAATTTAGGTTAATACCTGAGCAGGCATGACTTCAGAATTGGTTCCACAGATCTGAACTCCAGCATACAGACACGCTCTGTAGTGGGCTTCCACTACATCTCGTCCATAAGCTTTATCTGCTCCCACTCCACAGTAGTAAGGGCCTGATGAGGTAGAAAAAACAAACACATATTAACCATCAGCTGGCCTGGATTACATTTATATAACATTCAGATCAGGCAGGGGCCGGATTCTCACCTTGTGGACCAGGGAAGCCGTTGGATGGCCAGCCGAAGGGACGTCCATCCGTGCCCAGGAGAGTGTACTCCTGCTCCATACCAAACCACGGGTGGCTGTTCTCCACCATGCTCATGATCTGTTTGCAGGTGTGGCGCAGGTTGTTCTCTGTGAGGATAATGACAGGAATTAGCCGAGAATCCTAGACGGTTTAACCTGCAATTGACTGCTTAAACTTGGGCTCCATTATTTACCGTCTGGTTTGTAGTTGTACTTAACCACCTCACAGAGCACCAGCTTGTTGGGGTCTTTCCTGAACGGGTCCCTGAACATGGCTGCAGGGATCAGGTACATGTCGCTGTTGGAGCCCTCAGACTGGTAGGTGCTGGAGCCATCGAAGTTCCATTCAGGGAGATCTAAAAAAGAAAACCACCACAATCAATAATCTACTTTAAAATAATCTATTATGATGTTATCTGACACTAGTTGGAGCCTTAGATCTTACCCTCAATCGTCTTGGGTTCCGAATCCAAAGTCTTGGTCTTGCAGCGCAGACCCTCTCCAGATCCATCTATCCAGATGTACATGGCTTGGACCTTGTCTCCCTGGGGTAGTTCCATGTACTGCTGTTTAACAGCTTTGTTCAGTTTTGAGCTTGCTGAGGTGGCCATTTTCTTAACCCACAACCTGCAGAGTGAAGAGGACAGATGGTGAGCAGCAGACAGAGGAGCCTGTGTATCTGAATGCCCATAAACATCAGAGGGGATGTATGGAAAAAAGCAAATGGCAGACAGAAACCATTTGAGTTAAAGTGCTGACAACATGATCAGGAAAAGAACTTCAGCCTACAGTCTGTCTGTATCCTCTTGTTTTTGTTTCTTAAATTGCATTACCTGCAGTTAAAACTCATCATTCATGCATGTTTGATTATAGACATTTTTCATTCCTTTTGTGAATATTTGTCTATTCCTGTTTTCCACTGTGAAGCACTTTGGTCAACATCTGTTTCTAAAAGTGCTTCATAAACAAATGTCCTTGTCATCACGTTTCATCATCAGTTGCTCTGACAAATAATAAGGGAAATAAAATCTCATCTCGAGACGAGCAGCGGGAAAAAACACATAAATATAACAGATATCGCACAATATCTGTGTTTATAATCAAGTCAACATCAACAGTCAAAGGCAAACACTGAAACAAATAAAGTTTCTGCAGTACACAAACAGGAAACAAGTTTCACTTCGTAGAAGCCCGTGCAAGCAGAAGAAATCAGCAAGTGTACAAAATGAAGAAGTGCCTTACCTTATGTTACCTATAAAAATATATCAAAAGAATAAAATAGTCTCTAGACGCGTTGTCAGTGTGAATGAGTCTTTTGTTTATCATTCCTGTCTGTACCTCCCCGTCCAGCTTGTCTTTATAGTGCTGCTGAGCAGCAGAGTCGCCTCTGATTGGTCGAACAGGAACGTGATCAGCCCGTGATGAGGAGATGTGAAGTCAATCGGTCACTGTGTTGAAAAACAAAGACGGGGAGGGGGGGGTTTCTTTACATTTAACTAACTCTTTATCAATGCCTGTGAGACAGTTTATGAAAAAAATAAAGTAAAAGAAAAAGAAAGGGCAAATGAGCAACGAGTGAAAACCTCAGGTGAAAACGAGCATCAGAAAGAGAAAAAGAGACTTTTTCACTGGCAGTGCATGGTAAACAAGTGGTGCGCCCTCTAGTGACGATAATCCTGCAACTGGGCCTTCTCGTGATGTGAAAAGCAGTTCTTTTCAGTGTACTGAATCAGTAGAATCAGTTCAGTAAAGTGATTCGTTCAAAAGATTCGTTCACAGAATCGTTCAGTACTTCTCTGCAGCTCTGTCTGTGAATCAGAATTTAATAAGCTGAAACACGGCCGAACGTTTAGTTCTGCTCGCGATCGTACTGAGAACAGCAGGTGGTGAATAATAAGCCAATGAGCTGAGAAGTTAGTTGGATAAAGCTACAGTTTACAAACTGAAAGCTGCTAAATCAATCACATTTATTTTCCCCGACCGTTTTGTTCAGTATGTTCAGTACACAAATCACTCACTGACTGTACGACTGAGAGGGAGAAAGTGACTCGGAGGCGGAGCTCTCGTTCAGTTCTTCAATGAACGACAGCTCCGCTCTTCCTCTCAGTTCGTTCAGTGAACGAAACACTGACTGAACGTGAACGAGCGAGACTGCGAGTCACCAGCCTCAGTCACACACACACACTGTACTGACTGAAACACGATCGTTAGTAGATGTTAAAACAGTCAGCTGAGTGAAATTGAGTTGGATATAAAAGCCGTTTGTAAACTGACAGCAGCTATAAAAAGCACAAACATTTTCGCGACACCTAAATGTTAAATAATATATTTTCTACTTCCTCAATTTTGGAGACATGAGAGGGAGAAGTAGGGGCGAGCTTTAGAGACACAGAGCTCCCGACTGACTCCGTCCTGTTGGTTCAGTCAGTATGTATCACTGACATGAAAGGAGAGGGAGGGCGGGATTTGAGCGACTCTTACGGTCTGGTGAGAGAGATATGAGACGGGAGAGAGGAGAGCGCAACTGAAGTTGAGAAATGAACGACTCTTTTCAGTCAGTGATTCAGTTCAGTTCGTTCACCTAGATGATTCGTTCGTTTTGAACGAATCGTTCATGACCGACACATCACTAGTGCCTTCTTAGAAGTTGAAATATTGACAACACCCAAAGTACAAATAGTCTATGAGGCGATAATAATCTTATTACCCTGTTTGATCTGTCTGTATTTTATTTCATATGACTGTTGGTTTCTATTATCTCTTTTTTTTTATTGTGAAGCACTTTGTGACGTCTGCTCTTGAAAGGTGAAATAAACTTTACTTACTTACTCACGGTGACAGATACTAAAGAGTCTATAGGCCAACTATTGCTTCTACACCTACTATACTACACCATAAGTGGTGTATGTGGAAGGTCATACACAAATATCAAAAAGCACGCACATCTGAAAACTAAAGTAGCCTACTGGGTGATGAACAGAAAAAATCCAAAAGTAGAAACAATAGTCCGCACACCAGAAGCTGCTCCAATTAAGTTCAATTTAAAGGAAAAATTACCAACAGTAATGTTTCGGAGCGTCGCCCTTCATGTGGTTCATGTCTGTTGAAGGGCGAAGGCCCGAAAAGTTACTGTATGTGGAAGGTACCTGAACTTCCTTCTGTGTTTATTAAAATGCAACTTGGATTATTTTTTAAAGTGGTAAATTGCCTGATCTATTTTTATGATTAATAATAATAATGTGTGCATGTTGGCTGACATCTAATATCTTTGCTTTACACAAATACACAGTTTTGCATAAAATCAATAAAATGACTTAAAGTGCAGAAGCGTGCTCAGATAAAATAATCACATATAGTGCTCATTTTACAACTGTTCAAGCTGTGATCAAACCTATGTACACTGTGAGTTGGTTTGACCTATACCAATGCATCATTTTTATTAGCACTTATCTTGTATGTTTATTCTGAATCTGCAAAGTTCACAATGGCTATAATCAAAAACACCAAACACACATAGTCAGATTCTAAGGAGGTATATGAATTTGAAATACTCAAGAGCAGTACAAGTCCCTCCAGATATTACTTAATGCAGTAGTTGAAGAATGCAGTGCATAAAATGTTATCATCATGAACAAGAGGTTATGCCATAAGCAGTTTTATTTTATATAAATGATAAAAGTGGAATTGTTGTGGGATGCAAGTTAAAGAAAGCATTTATGAAAATACCCGAACAAAGAAGCACAAGGAGAGTAGATGTGGGTCAATTAATGGTTGAACAGTCTCAGTAAATAATAAGCTTTGATACAGATGCTTACCACATGGCAATCCAACTAAACACGTGAGAGGTTTTTTGGAGAAACAGGATTTTATTTGCTCTTCCAAAAAAAATCATATATATGTTTTTAATTGTCAGGGATGCAGAACTTTACTCCAGGCTTTACTTTGTCGTCCACCTGTGTGTTTGAGGAATCACAAAATGATGTTTGCAGGCAGATATTCTCTGCATGTTGTTATTGCTGAATGTTTTTGGCACATATGTTGTGTTTTTTTTTCATTATTAAATTTGGTTGTAATGAAAGACATCCATAAAAATGTAACATAAATCATTATTTATTGCATAAGAGCTTAGTTTGATGTCTAGGGTCTGATGTAACCATAGACTGTAAATATTACGGATTTTCCCGTTTTAAGAGCCGCGAACCGAACGTCCACTTCCTTCCGGTTCGTTGTTAATAGCGTCCATAGCAACCACCATAGCAACAGTAGAAAACGTAACAACGCAACGTTTTTCTATCGAGACCTGAAATAATCTTCGTAGAAACGAACAAACTAAAGATCATAAACATAAACCGAACTAAGATTATGAAGATACAATGTACATTTGTCGCCAGAAAGGTTATCAAAACGACACTTAAGCCTCAAACTATCTTAAAATATTGCATTTTCCACCGAAAATAGAAGGGATGTCCGCCATGTTTTTCTTTTATTGTGAAACTACTACGTTTTGCGCTGTGGACCTAATGTGTAGGTATTACACATTTTGACATGAGACTGGGTTGGTTTTTGACATATTTACCACACAGTCACAGTCTGTAAGTGCACTAATCACGTTTGGCAGTGGTGAAAATGAATAAACAGCAGTTTGGCTCCTTGTAAACAAGTTTGTCAGGCGAGTCGTTGAACAATAAGAGCGCTGCAAGCTGAGAGGAGGATTCACCATCAGTGAAAAAAACAAATGAGCGAAAATAGGTCATGCATGCAAACGTGACAGATTTAAAGATGGCACGTGAGTTTTAAGTGAAGTTTCCACTTGTCTCCCTTCATAGGGAAACAAAGATGAATCAATCACATGTATGCAGGGACGTTTATGCAGGGCCCTCTTACAGGCGTGCTCCGAGCGTCATGCTGTGATGGGATCTCAGCGATAGTGTGCCCTTATGAGGGGTTATTGTGAGAAAGAAAAGGTTATAGCAGGTACAGCCTGAGATTATTAGTTCATACAGTCGAAGAAAATTCATTTTAATTTAACTGTCAGAACGACTGAATCCTGATTGTGCACCTTAACCTAGGCCATAATGTTGAAATGTAAACAAAATGCATTTTGGATTGGAGAGATGGGTATTTTTTTTAACATCAATGATCTCCATAGCTGTCTGCACAAGACGAGTTGATTTCAGCTGAACAGACATGTGACCACACCAGGCTGTTATCCCGTATCTGATAATGCTTTCAAAAACTGCAGTGTTAAAAAGTAACATGCATTTCTGCTCAACTCCATAGACTCTCAGTCTGTGGAAGAAGTACACTGTTCAGTCTGGAGGAGAGATTCTCAATGTGAGTCCTCCAGCTGAGTGTGTTGTCCATATGAACCCGGAGCAGTGAAAGTAAAGAAAAGCCATTTTAATTTAATTTGTCTCAATAACTGAATCCTGAGACGTTTAAAACGTAGGCAACTTTATGTTAAAATTGAAACCCCACTGCATCCTTCAAAAGCCATCATCCTGACTTCTGGAATTTGAACCGTGAAATGAAGGCCACAAATATCCAACTTTAAAATCTGTGAACATATTGAACCCCCAAAAAGTCCCCAAATGTGCATTCTTTAGTGAAGAAAATATCCTCAAACTGGACCACGTAAAGAAAATCATCTTAAAGTGAAACACACAGCGATGTCCAAGAATTTTTAATCCTCGTTATGAGTGCTTTAAAAAAGCTGATGTGATATAGAGTGATCTTTAATTGATGAAGTTGTGTTCAAGGCAATATAAACCATTCTCAGGAGCAGTGGTGATTCTGGAGTCTGTTAGGCAAAGACTTACAGGGGGCCCCTCCAACCAGCGTATATCTCCATTATGTTTGAAATAATCACACAACAATAATTTTTTTAGTGGAAGTTATGTTATACAATCATGCTGGAGCTTTTTGACCTCTTCAAGCCTTTCACTCTTCATGCACCTTGGTAGTTGGTGATGTTGTGCCAGAACATCCCACTCTGCTTTTCAGGAATATTGCAACATCAGCATGCTCTCTTTTTTATGGTGTAGCAAAAGCTCAAATTAGAAGTAGAGATTTCCCAATGTTTTTGCCAGTTGCAAAATAGTGCGGTTAAGCATGTGTAAACATACCTGGCCAATAAGCTGATTCTGATTCTGATGAGCTAAAGGGATGTATTCCAAATCAGAAAAATGAAAGTGTGTATTATTCCATAGAGCGTGTCGTACAGAGGAGAGTTTTAATGTTTGTGCATGATCTTGCAACAAAAAAACATGTGCAACAAAGCTGTGTAAACCCTCCTAAATGGTTGCTTACAATCTGAATGAGCTACATGGTGAGACAGGTTTAGGCTGGG